TCCAGTTCGTGCAATGAGATCCCTACATTGATTTTATGATAAATCTTTTCAACTTATCCGCTAATCTCTATAGGCAGACAGATCAGTCCGCTTGTTTGCACCTGATAGTTACCACCAGATAGGACATCACACTTTGTCGAAGATAGACTAGTCTGAAAACTCATGTTCTCTCATACTTGCCCTAAATTTCCGTAAACAGCACTCTGTGGTGATGATACAGAACGTGTTTTTTATGTGCGAAAAAGTGCGACTGCTCATGACACCCGAACTATAGAGGGCTATGGTCTCTTCTACCAGCGAAATAAGATTAGAGCTCATGGGCCGGATCACAAAGTTGAAGGCTACGTTTCACTTCGGAACCTCATTTTTCCACAAACATACGAGGTTTCCTTCGTGAAGTTCCGGATCCATAGCCACTGTCATCATCAGGCGACCGCAGAGCATCATTGTGATCGCCTTTCACGGACTCGACCCTCGCTGTGGGTAACGGATTGTTTTTATGGCATCGAGTGGTACGGTTCAAAAGTTCTTCATTACCTCCTCTTACTAGATGGCGCCCACGTTGTGCTGCAAGAACGAAGGTCCTACATCAAATGTGATGGCACCACCTTCGGCCAGAATACTTCGCTGGTAACATGCTGAAGAGCGTTTGATCCGATGAATCACTTGGAACCATTTTCCTTGAAGCTTCTGAAGCCCATTTTGAGCGATTTAGAATTCCTCTTATGTTCGAATAGAGCTCCAACCTTATTGGGCCGGTGAGGGGCAAAAGAAAAAACTTTCTCTGTAATACCTTTCCAGTGTTCCTAAAATGTAATATAACTCCCTAAGTGGCCGATATTGAGCCCAAAAACGCTTTGCAAGCATTTAGGACACGTTTTATGGAAAAGTAAAACGAGCGTATGCATCAAGGGAACGAACCTTGATATCATACCTGTCAGTCCACCACACTATCCGCTAGGCCATAGTTGCACAGGTAAGGACTTTGCTCGGCTCGGTGATCCGTTCATTGCAGTGGTTCGACACAGGAAGGGACTGGTAACGTAACTTTGTTCCCAGAATGGTTTAGCAGATGTGAAACACAGGTTTGGGATCAGCGTTCGAAACCACCTACTGAGGTATACATCTCGTTTTGAATGGCCACTGCGACCAAGTATCCTTCCCTTGTTAGAGTTATCATTCCCTGTTTTGCTTTTTGAAGCAGCTTGAAAGATTTACGACAATTTTGTATATGATTATCTATTGATTACATATCTATTTAAATGTCTTTTTTCAATGTGTTTACGCGCTCAAGCGCAAATAGATTGTTGCTGAATATGTACCTGATTGCATGTTCGAAGGCTGCTCTGGTGAGAACACTGGGTGCTCTGGTTGATCTTGCAGGGGTATGGGTACTTACGTGCGTCCGAGGATGCGCGCGGCAAATTGCGCTCCGAAGTGCGTGGTGATTCGAACGTCCCTGGCACCTATCATTGGGGCTCAAACCCGGAGTAGTTTAGTAGGGTCAGCTGATAGTACTAATCTACTCTACTTCAAATTTGGGCCCCAATGATAGGCGCCAGAGTCGTTCAAATCCTCACGCACTTCGCCGCGTAATTTGCCGCGCGTATCCTCTGACGCACGTAAGTTCCGTCCCCCATCTTGGAGTGGTAACAGCTAATAAGTGATCGTGTTTATTCACTGGAAGGTTCTGCGGCTTGAATTATTTTTACGCGCACGCACACTTGAACGCAACATAGGGCGCTCTGACGTTACAGTTGCTGACGTTGTTCTCCTGCTGCGCTTGGCCTAACTACTCTCACTAATTATTCTTCTCTTCTCACTACTGTAGTGAACTCGATACTATATTCTACTCTTGCTGCTTGCCGCCTAATTTTTGCTTTTTCCTGCTTCTTGAGTTAGCAGATTGGTAACACAGCAAAAGATATGGTTGTTGATAAGTTAATTCTTATGCAGATCCTGATCTTGAGCTTTACACCGGTTGTCATGAGCATAGCGCGTCATGAACCTGGTGGTTTCAAGAGGGAGGCAAAAATTATGACTAAATACCTCACAATGTGAAGATATTCCATGGGTAATCCCATTCCATTTTTCACAAATCCTAATAGTAGAGAAATATTTCTGAAGTAATTGATACCTGGTACTAATTCACTACTAGTATCCTCCTGGTTTTCTAGTCTTGAAAAGTTACCTTGGGTCGGTTTGTTTGTCAGCCTGACGGTTTCCAGGTTTGCCCGTCTATCGTCCGTAAGAATCCCCGTGATTATTATTGATAGGGGAGACCCTCTTCAAAATGAGTTAGCAACAGTTAGGAAGAAGCTGAAAGGACAGATCGATGTGTGATTGAGAGCACTAATTTAATACAAAGTTACCAACTTTGCCTTATCAATCCAACCAATTGATAGCCATTAATATGCAGGGTACGCCATAAATCCGGTAACAACTTTTCGGACGTTCGTAATTTCCTTGTTTGGAGGGTTTCTCTAAATCTGCACCTTCCCTTATGTTTATGATGTACCTTAGCCCACATATCTACTTTAGTGCTCTCAATTCGTCGAACTCCGAAAAACGGTGGAGTCTCGCAGACACCAAAAACCGTTCCGTCTTCGTGCATTTGGTGAATCCTTTTCCGACATCGCTCCTCGTTTCAACATATTCCACATGACAGTCTCTTGAATGGCGATGCGCAGACAGTTCATCGAGGAACCTCAAAACAGTCATATTGTCACGCATACGACCCCTTTCCGAATACGGTTTCTTGGGAAGAGTACGCTGCGGAACCTGCAGAAACGCAAGAAAAATGACAGTTGATTTGTTTGTTTGTTCTGCTCCGAGGAGAAGACTCTGCCCCGAGTAAACACAATTGTATCCATATAGAATTCGAAAGCCTTATAAGCTTCTAAGCGAGAGGAAGTTGGAGAGAAAAAACAAATGCCGTGCGCTATTTGAGCGCTGCACGCTCTCCTACACTCTTTTTCTGACTTAAGCGTGTTTATCGTGGAAGAAATATTGAGATCTCAGAGTATATGTACGTATATCACACTATCGAGGGCTGAAGCCGCTGAGAAGAGTCAGATGTCTGTCGTAGCCATTTTCGCTCTTTCCCGATGGCTTGGGATGGAATCTACCATCAGAGTCTAATCTACCAAGCTTGAGTCTACCTATCGCAAATTTCGGTCGAGAAAAGCACAAAATTCAATCCGAACCTCTTTGAGGAGGGTTCTTCTGAGAGGATGTAGATGAGGGTCAGTATTCCTCTAGGGTACGATTTGGCACTACGGGTCAGTATTCCTCTAGGGTACGATTTGGCACCTACTCACGAATGGGAAAAGTGCAAGACTGGTGCTGAGAAAAATTCGCGACTTTATCCCCAGCTTCCAATCCTACGAATTTCCCGGACCACAATGTGATGGGGCGCTGGATATAGTTTATTTAAGAGGAAAGCCTGCGTTCCAAAACGCACCACTGTTGCAGCTTCTTTGAAACCAATGAAAAAAACCGAGCTCAAGTTTTTCATGGAACTCTGCGTGCCACCGTCGATGAGTAGCCGAAGCGTCTTCGAGCTTTAATTACATTCGAGAGTACAGGAAACGGCTATATAAGATCACCATGTGTTCGTTTTGTAGATGTGATGCATAGTAAATAACTCACATGAACCCGCCATGTATCAGTACGAGCTGCGGTTTCTGTAGCCCAATTCTTTTGTTGCCATATTTATAGCGCATCCTGTAGATTTGTAGCGTTATTGATCAAATCCATAACTCAGCTTCTATTAAATAGAAGAACAAGCAAGGTGATGGTGTTGGTGCACGCAAATGTTGCTACTTCAGCACTGTAGATTGAATAAGTTTTTAGTGCCTCTTTCAGTGTTGTCATTGTTTGGCAGCGTTGCACTTATAATCAACGTCCTTCTGCAGTGAATAACACACTACGAGTTTTGAATGCATAGAATAGTTAAGAAAGAAGTCGTCAAAGTCTCATTCAACAATGTTCTCAGTAAGGGGTTGACTGCGTTCCGTATCCCACAGAAATCGTGTCAGTTTTTTAGATGCACGCACAAGGTGAATGAAGGATTAGACACTAAGTCCAATGAAACAATCAAGCTCACTCCGTCTTAACTTGCTTACAACTGCAATACAAACTGCTGATTTCAGATTGATTCATCGTTGCTACAGACCTTTAATGATGTTTATGATCTCAAGGTTTACTAACATAAAAAAACAAGCTTAGAATACCGCGAAAGCCCGGATTTCGTGCAATACCACACAGTTACATTAGCAGTGTCAGAATTCTATGCAGATGCAACGGAAATAAGGCCTCCACATCTTTCAAGGCATAAAACTGATCAGCCATTAACACTCCTTGGCGAACTACACATCACCTTATCCCTCATTTCCCATTCCTCTGCATCAATTGAAATGGTCCTCCTTTCCACTCCATGCTCGGCTCGTGTGCCCATTCACATGTTCATTCCTGAAGAGCGCTCAGGAGGAGAGCACAGACATAGAGAGGACACATCCCCTTCCGCTGGCAGACCCGACACGGGTGTGTGTCGTGTGGCGTGGCCCCTCGCATCAAGCTTGCCATTGGGGCAGAATGGGCTTATAATTGCCTCCTTGGCGCCGCCCATTCGACGCTGTTTGTGAGTGGACGGCTCTTCCATGCAATTCAATCATCTGATCATGCTAATCGGCTCTCCCACTGCCCATCCAGTTGACATACTCCCGATCGATGACGCTACTACTATTGGACGCCGAATTGCGGACCCACTTGTATTCTGTCTATCTACATCGTCTATTTTGCTATTTTCTCGTTCTTTTTCTGCTTTAAGTGATTCTTGAACTCTCTTTTCCAATGAATACTGCCAAGTTACAGTGAAGCGGTAGTATCGTGGTCGTTTTGGAGCCTACTTCAAAGTAATTTGCAGTACATATGTATAACGGAAATATGATATATGTCGAGATATAATACCCGGAAAACTATTTAATAATTTGCATGTCAATCAAGTTATTGATAAAAATAAATATTATGATAAACAAACGTTTTTCAAGATGAAACAATCAAACACTTACCACATGATCATTCCATTCCATATGTACTGCAAATTGCTTTGAAGTAGGAAGTCTCAGGCTCCAAAACGATCACGATACTACCGCTTCATCGTAACTTGACAGTATTGATTCGAAAAAAAGAATTCAAGAATCTCTAAAAGCAGAAAAAAGCGAAAAAATAGCAAAATAGACGGCGTAGATAGACAGAATACAAATGGGTCGCGATTCGGCGTCTAATAGTAGTAGGGTCATCGGTCGGGCGTATATCAGCTGGATGGGATGGCCGATTAGCATGATGAGAAGATTGAATCACGTTGACGAGTCGTTCACCCCACAAACCGCGTCGAATGGGCTGCGCCAAGGAGGCAATTATAAGCCCATTCTGCCCCAATGGCAAATTTGATGCGAGGGGTCGTGCCGAACCCCCGACACACAGAGACTGCTTCTGCGTCTGAATCTCTCAGCGAGAGGAAATTTGGTTGAGAACAGCCCTGTAACCGGCAAGTCTGTCAGATATTCACCTCGGTTGTCTAAAAAGCTCATTTTCAGGGTTTCCACATGCTGATTTTTTGTGTGGATGGGGAGCAGGATGTGTCGAAACCTGCGCGCTGTTTCCTTCAAACAAAATAATATTCCGTCAACAGCTGCATGGCTTTTCGGCGAAGTCGGCTTGGTGTCAGGTCAGTTTGATGGTTATTTTATCATTACTTGTTTCGTTCCAGCAAAGTTGTAAATCAAGAAGCGATTAGCAACAGTGTGGTATAAGGAAATGTGTGTCCACAAGTGCAGCCAACAAATATCGATTGCTCGACATCTCTGGGTTTACTGATCTATGTGGGTTTTTCATCCACTAACGTCAAGCCACATTTAGTATGCCGCAGTTTATGATCAGTTCGCGGCTATCCGCACAAGCGTCGACCTGAGCGGTTCCTGAAGAACAGGGCCGGTTGAATTGGTTTAAAGATATCGTGCTTGGAGATGGTTCATGGAAATATAGGGTTTTTTGTGTAACATGATAGTGTTCCTTCAAAGTAGATTTAAGTATGTATTTTCGCATACTGAGTTCAAATAGACGCCGTAATTTGCGAAAGAGACAGGGAACAACGTTACCTCAGCATTATTCCATCCATGAGGTATGGAATTCAGCAGATGTAAGCATGTCGAATTACTGGGCTAACTATGAAGTGTCACCGTATAAAGGTAATGCGATGGACTCGCAAGCGTAGTACGAGATTTCGCATGCTTGGTACATGAACCTATTGTACTTTTTTTGTAAAATCTTTGCTGAAGTCGTGCAGAACCACCCAAAGGCACAGCTCACGATAATTTTGAAGTACCCCTTTTAAGTCGAAAGACGGAAGTATTGTTGGAAACAGTGCATCGGTAGTGAAGTAGGTGAGGAAATTTGCCGAATTGCGGAAAATGAGGCTCATTAAAAGCAGTGAAATTGGAGGTTGTACGAGGTACCATGATAGAAATGACATGAAAGGGGATTTGGGCGAGATCTCAGTTGTTGCAATTGTGCAAAAAGCTGACTATATCAAGCGATAACTGTCCAGAAACGCGCAAATTTGGAATGTAGATATGAGAGATTTGAGATCAACATTCGAGAACACATACGTCAGTACGCATCTCATCTTCCGTGACCGCTGCGACATGGTACGCTTCCGTCTTATGATAAATTTGTCTATTTCGATTTCTCTGCTTTCACTACTAAAACATCTCCTGTCGCTAGGACAAGCGCATTTCTATATAAAAACGTCATTGCTGCACTAGTTGGGTTGAGTAGTGGCATGTTCTTCATCATCTGGGTTTAGAATTCGTCGGCAGACCAATCGATTTGATGGCAGATGTTTGCTTTTTAAACAACATTCAAGTATTACAGACACAATACACGATGAACATAGTTCCCGAGGTATAATCTTACAAGGGAAGGATACTTGGTCGCAGTGGCCATTCAAGATGAGATGTATACCATCATAGGTGGTTCTAAACTCTGATCTCGAATCTGTGTCCCAAATATGCTAAACGACTCTGGGGACAAAACTACGGAACTAGTTACTCCTTTTGTTATACCACTGCACCGAACAGATAAACCGAACAAAGCCGTAACTGTACGACGGGGGCGCAGCTGGTAGGATGGTGGCCTCGTGAGCATGACGGAAAGGTTTGAGTCCTTGATGCATGCGCTCATTTTACTTTTCCATGAAGTGTGTCCCAGTCTGCAGTTAGGTTATTGTTGTTTCGCAATGTGGCAAGTAGTGTTTGCCACATTGGGCTCTCCTTCTATTTAAATGCCTTTCCGACCAACACAACAGGTGGAAAGGGTTACCAAGTCAGACGGTGGTTCTTGCATCGTAAAAGGAGCCTCTTGGGAAACATTATACACCAGCAATTCAGCACAGCCGTTATGAACATTGAACATTTGGTACGCGTGGCAATGAACATCAATGACTAACAATTCACTCGCTAATTGAGCTCAAGGATCAGTATTCTTCGAATTTCGGGAGTAATGATCAAGCACCCATTGGACTCAACCCACTTGAAACGAAGAAGATAGAGAAAAATGTGTTCTCTGCTAACTCCTTTTTTTCACAAAACTCGTTTCATCTCTGCAACGCATTCTCGAAACCTCTGGTTCTCAATCAGTTATTTCGATGAAACGCGCAGCGCCCTGGCGACAGCGGGGCACGTCATTCATTGCATACATGCTCGAGGGCACATGTCAATCTAATTTATAATGTCATGGTATTCACAAAAATTAGTTACTGAAGATTTTCATGCTCTGTTTAGGATGTATTGTTTATGATGTGTTTAAGAAACCTTCAGAGAAAAGGATTTCAAAGCCTCACTTTGAAACCTTCCAAAGAGGTTAGAACAAACATTATATTCTAGCCAAGGGTTCGCAATCCGAGGATAATGTGAAGGATAATGTACATTTAAGGCATTTAAATAACAAGACTAGCTATACCAATGTTGGTGACATAATAGTTTCTCTAGTAGCCGCAATCACATAGGTTCATTACGCAGAAGTTATTTTTAATGGTTTCCTCTCTTGAAACAACATTAGCCATGAACACCACAACTTTTCTGCTCGAACGAAAAGTGATGAACTTTACATCTTATAACGTTCGTTTTGGATTGCTTAACTCTCAGCATTTGGTCGGTATAATAGTAGAACCTAAATTCGTAGACTTTTCATGGTGCTTTTATTAGTTTTACAGTACATACGATGCGAATACCTGCTAAGGTGTTGGAGCGTACACGAACCAAATGAATGTGTACTCATACTGAAGAGAGTTTTTATAAGGGTTACTATCACTGCCCTAACACGTATGATCACTGTCTTTTGGTCGGTCTTGACACGTATCGGTGGCTCACTTTCCACGTTGAAACATGTCCTCTTTATATCCCATACCAGTCTGTCAACCTGTTTCCAAACGTCATCAGACAGAAACTCTTCACTATTGGAATGGACAAATTATTAATCTAAATAAGCAATAAACAACACAACAGCGCTAAGCAAAGTGAGTAAAAGAGTGTTTTTTATTCATTAAGCACTCTCCTTTGTCATTACCTGTGGTCACTTCTGTTACACCCCTGACCCTAGTAATGGCTTGTCAGATGACTCGTGGGGCCTGTAATATTCCTTGCAGTTTTCCAGTTCGTGTTCTATTTCTCTAACTTCTTTGTAGCATTCCTGGATTTCTTCCGGCAATGTGCAGAGTACTTTTTAGGCTTCTCCGATCCCCAATATAACCCCAGTCTTATTTCGATGTCCTTTATTGTGTCGACATTCCAAACATAGTTTGCATCGCGCTCGCTTCATTCGGGATTTTGCGGTGAAATAAGTAGAACAGCTATCTGAATAATGTCTTTCCTTCGCCAGACAGAAGGAATGAACCAAGTGTCGCTCTTGAGGTCTCATTGGATTATCATCGTTTACCCTTCGTTCTGGTACATTCCGGTTGTTTCATAAGTACTTTTTGATTTCCGTGAGACGCGCTTCTAACTGCAGTTTCTTCTGTTGCACGGGGTACCTCTTTCGAGCTGTGTTGTCATCGTCAGATAACTAGGGAAGAGTTTTGATTTAGTCATCGTGACTTTTGGGCTCTTCAATTTCGTAGTTCAAATTCAGAAAGTCTTCTTCGAGTTCCTCGGTGTCCACCTCTTTTGGTTTCGTTTTCTGCTCTGCATGCTCTGAATGCTTCGCATGCTCTAGATGCTCTGTGTGCTCTTGCTCCTCTCATTCGAAATTGGTTCTTGTTGCAATGTTTTCTATATTTTATTTTTTCAATTTTTTGCGTAGCCTTTTCATGCTCTATCTTTGTTTGTCCATTTCTGTTTGTAGTCCCATATGCTTCACATTGATCTCTCCCTTCAAGTCCGTTATCATTTCTTTTATTCGATCGAAGATAGAAATGCGATTTCTATTTTCTGCTTGGCGCTTGCTGGTTCGATTTCGTTCTGTATTTGGCGTTGTTCTAGGAATTCCAGCTCTTCCCGTATGGAGTGAGCGGTATGACTTGGTTCCAACAGGACACCCGCTCATCTTCTCCAAAAGAGTTCCTTCGAGTTAACATTACTGCTTCTTCTGTCAAAATAAAAAGACTGCACACTCCGTCAGCCAAGGACAACTTTTTGGCTGTGCTTCGGATTCTTTCAGCATTATAGTCCACTTCGAGATATGACTTTTCCAGATGCTTCTGTAGAGCGCTCCCTCCAAATTGGCGAAAAAAACGGGTTTTCTTCCTCGAACTTCGGTAATCTCGTCATTAAGACGATTGCCCCTACCATTCTTAATAACGATTGTCGTAAAGCAGCGTATTCTGTGTTGAATATCATTCTCTTCGGAAACTTCGAGAAAATCTCTATGCAAGTACGCTTATAACGAATTTCATCATAAGTTTGCGTTTCTTCGCTTGACGTTTTTTGGGCTTCGTTATCGTTCTTTGACGACATTGCTCGAAAATGGAAATGCTTCAAATGAAAGGCGCTAAATGGATAGGCTCACTTTGTTTTACCATTTTTTAGTACATTTTCCCAAGATTTCTCCCTGATTTTGAGTACGAAGTGATCTCAGTGCTTGATTTCAGATTTAAGTGGATGGATAATGTGTCGGAGCTAACGTGCTGCTCTATGATTCTACTGTGCTTGTTATGCTTCTTCCGACTATGAAGTAATATGAGGTTGAAAGTGGTAGTAAATGTGCTATGAAGTAATGACGTTCTGGGTGAGCTTCCCTTATTCCTCAGAACAATAGCACCAATTTTTGAAATCATGCACTCATAAACTCTTTGGTTTCCATGCACTATTGCGTAGTGTGAAGTGGATTTGATGTTTTGTTGCTTTTCGGTTGAAGTCTGTACTCCACAGGCGACTGATAACACTGTCAACGCCAATGCCATTTTCAGGTCAAGTAATGTTGGCCATGTTCTACTCGGACGGGTAATTAAGTGATGAGTGTTAGTCTGGATTTGATGATTACTTTCCGTGTAGTTGTTTCTTCTTTTTCGATTTAGATAACGCTTTTTTGTGACTGCGGTTCAACTTGACATATCTCGTCTTTCGACATTCCATTTTGCTGTAACTTCTCCCCATTATCTGGGATTTCCAAAGATATAAGTTGG